TTTTTTTAGAAATAAATAGAAAATAAACCCCTAAAAGGGGAGGGAGGGAGAATGGGTAGGTATGAATTAACGTACTGAAGAGATCCCCCTTCGCCCTCACGGCCAAACTCCACCCTCCATGCTTCGCCAACGCATGCAACATATGATCCAGGAATCCAATCCCCGTGTTGATGGTGATTTGCTGCGTCGGGGTGAATTGCGTCGCGTGCGGTGAGGCTTTGTTTGGGATTATCCCCTTCTTGCTGGCCTCGGCTTCGGCGGGGTCTGAGGGCGCCGGGAAGTGACTGCATGGTTCGTAGGGGGGTAGGATGCCCCCGTCTAGCGAGAGGGAGATTTGGATCTTGGTTTCGTTGGTTATCCGGGTGATGGATGCGGTGCGGGGGGGGAGGGGGGGCATTTTTGGTGTTGTGTCTTTTGTTTTGTTTTGTTGTGTGGTGTCTGGTGGGTATAATGTGGTGTGGTGGGTGTGGTGGTGAGTGTGATGCTGAATTCAATTGAGTAAAGTAGGTAGTAGAGTTGTAGAGAGTGGAGGATAGTTCGTTGGTAATCTCTTCCGCTGATTGATCAAGATCTTTTTTGCGAAACTGCGGTTTCGGACCCGCGGAGAGGGTAAGGTATTCGGTATTTGGTTTACTAATTTACAGTACGGTGTTGGTTCTCGGCATTTCGTTGACCCGAGTCGTATGGGTTGAATGGGTTGTGCGTCATTGTTTGCAGCAACTGCCATGCGCCTGTCTGTCTTTTTGTCCGCTGTGCATGCATTAGGTATTTTCTCTTTTTTCCTTCTTTTCTTTTATTCTATATCGACAGAGTAGCTTCGCTTAGCTACTGCATAGTTACATATATCATGCCTCCTCCCTCGGATCAACGTCATAATGTCGACCCCCCGGAGGAGATCACCTCCGAGGCCGTCCGCGGCTTCTTGACCGGTGCTTTTCGGGTATGTTCTGTTCGTTGATTCCTACTGGCTTGTTGCTCTGCACTTCAATTCTGAGTGGGAGCCGTCTGTTGTATCTGGGAGGCATGGTATTGACAGAATAGTTCGGCTCCGTCTCCATCCTGGCGCATATGATCATGATCCTCCCTCATCCTTTCAAATTCTCGTCACCCTCGTCTGCCCCCGTCCCATCGCAATCCCCGTCGCAACCTCCGCCCAAGCAATCGCCCTTTTCGAAAGAGTTCATTCGCTCGCGACTCTTCTATCGCCCGTTAGAGGGCTTCTCTGAGTGGCTGTCCCCCGCTTCGAAGATCTACCGCGGCTTGACGCCTCAATTCAAAGTGTTTCTCCATATCGGGGCCATGACGCTGGGTGGATGTATCTGGGCGGAGCGCCGAGTCGATGAATACATTAAGTATATTCGCAAGGTCAAACGGCTCGAAAAACTACAAGCGGAGAGAGCCGCGCGGGGACTGGAGTAAAGCAAAAGCGGTAGTCTAGGCATAGATGGGATGCCGACAAGGTTGATTGATTTCCGGGTTGAGGATTTATAGTTCCAACATCAAACAACGGACCCAGTTGTCTCAAGGTCATTCTTAATGTCAGTGGTTTGTGAGAGGCAGAAATATCGGGAAGCTGTCGGTCGGGGCTTTGTCTCGCTTTGCTAAAAGTTTGTCCTGTCCGGAGAGGCTGAGTCCACATCTTCTTTCTTCTCCCTCAGGATTCTACCCGGCTAGCTCGGGCGTCTGAGGTTCTCCACTGATCTCAACCCCCGTGTTTGAAGGGTTCAGGCGAAACACGACGATGGCCCAGTCTGGAACGTACTGGATACCCTTCGGGCCAGGTTCGGGGTGTGGACAAGCCCGTTAGAGGGGGGTGGAGGGGGGAGGGTTTTGGCTAAGAGTAGTAGTAGCTAGCTAGTTAGTTAGTAGTAGTCTAGCAAAGTCCAGAAGCGATGCTGCAGCAATCCCCGAACGGCCGCGGTGGGGATACGGGAGGATCTCCAGATTGGTGAATCGGCCGCTTGTGTACGCCAGTAGATCTCTAATCAAAATGACGACCGATTTCAGGGGCAGTTGATCCAGTTGACAGGGTGGTATCTGTTTCTGAAGAACTAGAACATTGCGCCCTTTATTTCTTTTACCATTCTGTCTTCCCCTCCTCCCCCCTCATATTGTTCTAGGGTCGGGTCGGTCCTAGGGTACTAGGGAGGAACAAGGGGGTCTAGATCATGTGGTGGGAAGAGGGGAATAGATGCAAACAGACAGACTGGTCGGGAGCAATGTGCACACCACACCGTAAAATGAAGAATGAACAAGAAAAAAGAAAATATGAACCCAAATGCAGGCGACCTCCCAATCGGTTGATCACCCCGAAGTTCATTTTACCCAGCTGTCAGTCATGGTGGCAGCGCTCCAGACCGTGGCCAACTGGAGCTACTCCGTAGTTACTAAGTCATCTCGCAGCATTCTAGCTAGCTAGCTGGTCAGCCAGGGCGAGAGAAGGATCCAAGTGGAGCTCGAGCTCTGAAGCAGGAGAGAGAAAGCGAATAGGTGTGAGCGAGAGAGAAAGGCGGCCAGTCCTGCATGGGTTTACGCGGCTGGAGATCGGCTTCTCGAACGCGTTTCAATCCACCGGCGATCGGCTTCATAAGGGCTCCATCTGGAGGGGGGAGGCACAAAATGGTGGGACAGGGAAATGAGTATCAAAGACAGTTTAGTGAGTGGATTAGTTAGTCATTAAGTAGTTTAGTGATGGAGTCGAAGGGAGGAGAGAGGGCTGATTAGTTGTCGTTCTGAAGTAGTTAATCAGGATGTATTTGCCATTCGCTCTCTCATGGAGTAGTGAGATGCAAGAACAAGCAATCCCAGAGAGGCGGACGGGTGAGGCGGCGGTTTTAGTTGGCGGCTGCTTCTATAATAAACCAGCCAGTGGGATGAAGTGGAAGGAGAAGTAAAGTTATTACCTACGCTCTCTTCATCCTGCGCATCCTTGTGCATCCTGGTAGTTCATTCATCCTCGTTAGATATCTTAGGAAGTAGCCAGGTTGATACTCCGTAGTGGTTGTGTAGGTAGATAGAGAGAAAAAGAGAAATCACCCCCAAGAAAAAGCATCAACTGCATTCGGCGAACCTTGGGATGATCGGCTTTCCGGAGAGAGTAACTGGAGGGTGAGAAGTAACTTAACTCTCTTTCCTCCCTCGCCTCGTCATGTCAATCCATCCACATTGAGCTCATCATTTATTATTTTATTTTATTCCATTTTCATGATGTTGTGTTTCGTTGTGCTGTTGCATTGCCACCTTCATCTGTCTGCTCCCTTCTGTCATTCTTCTTCTCTTTTGTCTCCATATTGCCTCTCCATCCATCTCCATCTGCCCCCCTGATCCGTCATTTCCCTCGTCCCTTTAGTCTCTATTCCCCACTCTTTTCTCTCTTCTGCTTCTTCTTCTTCCTCCTCCCCATCTTCCCTCCCATCTTCCTTCCCTCCCTCCCTCTCCCTCTTTTTTCAGGGAATTGTAAATTGGATCTTCCTCTTCTCCTAATTAGTCAACTAGTTCGTACTCATTCAGTCTCTACATTTCTTTCTTTTTTTTGTCATCAGTGACACAGTCATCGGAATTCCCGATTTTTTTATTATTATTATTTTCAGCGAGATCCGAAGAAGCTCCGGGCGCTGACATCATAAACCCAAAAAGACGCGCTGCAAGTTAGTCTACTTAGTTCACTATTAAGTTCCTGAGCTCATTTTTCTCCGGATTGCCTGCCGTTCAGGAACTGGTTCGATCCAATCTTTTCACCTCACTGGGTCCGCTTAAACAATCGCTTTCTTTGGGTCGCTGAGACGTTGACGTTGTAAACACGACAGGGAAGAATAGAGAAAGAAAGAAAGGCAAAGATAAGCAGCCAATATCCATCTTGTGCGCCTCGTCCGTTTTCGTCTACTTTTACACACTCTCTCCCTCTCGTGTCTTCCCCTTTCCGGTGTTCTGGTGGTGAGGTTGTTGCGTTGTCTCGCCCATTGACACGGCCTAGACTGTAACCTTTTCTTACGTCCCTGGTTGCCCCGGAGTGTGCTTGGACGTTCTTTCTTCCTTCCTTCCCCCCCCCCCCCCCCCAATTCTCCTCTTCCGTGCATCTCAATCGCCATCGCATCGGTGTTGCTGCAATTTCGTACTTTTTTATTGACGTCCTCCGCTCACTCGCTCGCTACTATCGGTCTCAAAGTCTCAACCCACCCCATTCTTTTCCTTCCTCTCTCTCTCCTCCCTCCCCCAGTATTTTAAGCTCTTCTTCTTGTCCATTGTATATCTGGTTATACTCTCTCTCTCTCTCTCTCTCTCTCTTCTTCTTCTTCTTCTTCTTTTCTACTTTAGTTACGAATTACCCTAAGATTGTCTCTTGTCGCCTTATATCTCATCGATTGTCTCATCTGGTATCGAGACTTTTCCTTGGTTCTCTTTTACTTCCCTTTCCACCTCTCTCTCTCTTTTTCTCTCTCTTTCCAAGCGCCCAATCTCCAATCGCGCCATTTTCTCTCTTCTCCCCCGCCGTCGTCTCTGTTGACTTCTTTCCCCTTCTTTTCCACCTTCCATTGCCACGTCAAATCGTGCCGTCTTCCTGCGCGTCCATCTTGATTCTTCACCTCCTATCGATGGCAGCTGGCCCGACTGCTGTATGTTCCACCTGCCTTCCCTCCCCCTCTTCCCTTCCACAGCTCCTCATTTGTGCTCCTTCGCCCTGCTCCACCCCTCTAGTTCACTAGTCACCACCGGGGTCTCAATCTCCTAGGCTAGGCCTGCAGCCATGTCTATCCATCCTTATCGTCCCATCATGCTCCTCCTCGTCCCCCCCCCCCAAAGTGTTCGGTGACCTTGTTTTTTTTTTTCTTACGGGTTTTCTTCCTTTTAGTGACCTACCCCCCCGCGACCTCGGCCTCCTCGATGTGGCACTTCGTTCTCGACTTCCAATTTGCTCCTGCTCCTCTCGCCCTCTAGCGTTCTCGACTCTTCCCTGTCTTGTCTTCTCCGCCCTCCTGCTTCCCCCCCGTCATGGCCGAGAGTCTGGGGAAGAAAGAGCGGAGAAAGAGCCTGAGCGTCTTCAGCCCATCAATGACTACCTCTTCCCTTCCCGCCCCCGCCGCTCATGAACGGTCGCCCTCCGATGATGCCCAGGTTCTGAAGAAGAAATCGCGACGCAACTCGGGTTTCTTTGGGGTCCGGCACCCCAGTCCCCCGAGAGCCACGCCCACCCGTGGCTTACGTCGTCCCGGCACCGCCGATTCGGAGTCGGCCACCTACGTGACCGCGCTGCCTACCGTGGCGCTCGAGGGCCCTCGCAGCCGCCGGAAATCCCTACAGAAACGACGAACCTCCGTGTTTGGTTCCCTTCGGTCGCTACACTCCCAAGAAGATGACGACCGGTCTCTGGGCCGCTCCAAAGGCTCGTCCCTGGACGAG